ACCTTGAGATATAATCCCTAAGAGCCAATTTTCAAATATACGTTGGTCATGTCATGCCTGCAATGTCAGATTATGATCTGCCTGTATAAATATTTAACTGTGTGGCGAGAGAGAAGTTCCCTGAGGATGGGCTCCAGCATGAGTCTGAAAGCTTGGAAAACTAAACCTCTGGTCCCGTTGATTAACCCTGAATGAATCCTGTTGATATTTGCAGTGTCTCACAGTCACGTGACCACATTTTGTGATAACTTTTGCTGAAACTTCCAGCTTTTGGCAAATCTGCACCATAGCAAACAATGGATTCACTGAACAACCATGGTATTCATTGAACAATCCCTGTATTCCCCTTAACATCTGCCACAAAAAAGGTAATAAAATCAGGTCAAGTGCTTTGCAACCCCCTTGACATGCGACTATAATGGACAGGCTCCATTACAGTTGTATGTTAAGGACCACCTATACATCTTTCATTTACCATCCTACCTTTGGGCAGATTCCCTTTGTGCAAAAGTCCTCCATTATTCTGTTTGATTTTTTTTTTTTCAGATTTGCCAACATGAGAGAAACTACTGAGTCTGCAAATGTCATTTAGTTCTCTCAAAAGAAAAACAAACTACAACTACTCTAATTTTTTTTAAAAAAAATAGAATTTAAGGAATGGCCGCATAAGTCTTGGATTAACTGCTGTGTTTCAGTCCGAAATTCCTGTTTCTTTTTCAGTGTTGCCTTCTGTTTGTCTTTCAATCCAAGATGGCTGCTATTTTTTCCACAGCTTTTGATGTTCATGGCTAAGTACAGGTCTGTTTCCCTCAGCCTAACCAGGATGGCAATCTCATACTTAGAATGCATTTTTTTAGACTGCTACTAGTTTGAGCGATATTTGGTGAAAATACACTCTCAGAAACTTATTTCTGGATTTATTTCTGGAAACTTATTTTGTATTTATTGAGCACAATGTCTCTCAATATCACAGTAATTTACAGGAAGAACTTGTCTTTGATTGTTTGATTGAATCATAACCTATCACGAAGCATTTCAACCTCCAGTGCCACCATCCTGGGCTGCTGTTTTAAGTTGTCAAAAGTTTTCTTTTTAATGAGAGTAATTAAAGGGACACCTGTTTGGACTGATATACCCAGTGCTATGTCAATATTTCCATTGATTCAATTTATTACCCAGCTGTGAAAACTCATTTTAGCCCAAAATGTTGTGTAAAATAGCTAAAATTCAAAAAGAGGGATGGAGGGAAAAGCCAGTCAGAGTCTGACATCGTAAGATACCAAAGGGCAAAAGGAGTTAGATGAAACAAGTTAATTCTGCTAACTTCATTCTGTTCTGCAATATACCGTATTTTTCGGAGTATAAGATGCACCTTTCCCCCCCTAAAAGGGGGTAAAAATTTAGGTGTGTCTTATACACCGAATGTAGCCCCACCCATCCACAAGCCCCCACCCTTGGCCTCTGCCTCACAGCAGTTACCTCCTTGCAAGCAAACAGCAAGAAAAAACTGTTCCTTTCAGCTTCAGCACAGCCTAATTAGCACAAATTGATTGGATGGTTTCCTGACTCTCAGCTGATTTGCTCTCAGCTGTTTTGCACAGGGTTCTGCTTCTTGCTGCAAAGAGGTAAATAGCTGGAGCAGATTTTTCCCCCCTTGTGCTAATCAAGCTATGCTGAAAATGAAAATGAAAGTAAAGCAGGTTGTTTGCTGTTTGCTGCAACGAGGCAAAATTGCTCAGAGGCAGAGGGAGATTTCTTTTTCTTCTTTTCCTCACCAAAAAAGGTAGGTGTGCCTTATACTCTGGTGCGTCTTATACTCCGGTGCGTCTTATACTCCAAAAAATACGGTAATTGTTATATATATTCTCTATCAGACCCCTGACCTGATGTTCTAGGACTTCAACTGCAACAGATGGAAATGTTCGGAAATGCAATTTGCCACTGATGTAGAAAAGGGATGGCGGGGGAGAGAGAAACTCTCTCACAGAGGAAAATGTCTTTGGGGAATTAGAATTTCAATTTCAACATTCTGTTGGAAGGGAAAACTGTTTTCCTTTTGGTTTTGGACTAATGATTTTGGCTTCCCTTAAAGATTATAGCCTTGTGCCCACCCCAACCCCCAGCAAGTACCACAAGAGTGGTTTACCAACAAGAGAAACAGAAAACCTGAATCCAGCTCTTTCTGTTTCCGGTTCTGAATAGTTTGTTAGTGGCTATCTAGGATCTAAGGAAATCATGGGTTTGGGAATATATACTGTATATATTATTGGACTGGCACTATAAATGTGTCTATTTGGACTGGGCATAGATGCTTGTTTTGAACAATGTTTGCAGTTCAAGAAGAAGTCGAGGACTGCAAGGATGGTGTGCCCTTCTATTCTATATTTAATAAGGCCCAATTCAGTCTGAATATAGCTCGGGTATTAATGATAGCTCTTTTGGAAGTAAATTGCATATTTGAATACCGTATCTAACTTGCAGTTTTATTCTTTGGGATGAATCTATTCCTGCCCTGGTGCTCCATTATTTTTGATATTATTTTTATGATATTTAGTATTCAAGACATTGTTTTTCTGGTCACTTCCTACAGTGTGATAGCACTATCATTTTGCTATCTATTATGTGCAGAAAACAAATTTGGATAAATAACGCAGGATGAATTTTAAGCACTTCCATGAGAATTGAGGTGTTTTATACAGGGGAAATGTCCATATTTTCTGACTGTAACGCTCAACACAAAATGGGTGAAATAGGGCAAGCCTGTTTCATCTGGAGTCAAAAAATATAAGATATATGAAAAGTGTGATCCATAACTTTTCAAATGAATAATAATACGGTTATTCAGCAGAGATGCCTGAAGCTGAGTATCATGCATTTAGCAGAAAAATGAAAAGCATTTTTTTGGGAAAAAAAAGAATTATTCACTTATTTTCTGCACGTAATAGATAGCAACCTGATAGTGCTACTGCACTATAGGAAGTGACCAGAAAAACAATGTCTTGAATACTAAATATCATAAAAATATGGTGCTCTTTAAAGGCATTTATTTAACTATATTTATGTGAATTTTTTTAAAAAAATGTTTTGCTGGATCAAACAAAGGTTCTTTCATTGTCCTCCTACCCAGAGTCTGTTTGGAGTTCTGCAGCAGCAAAATTCAATCAATCAATCAATCAATTCTAGATGCCATCAACTCTGAGGTATTACCTTATTTCCTGCTGGAAGAAAAGGAACAGCAAAGGAGTCCTACAGATGGCCTGGAATATGGCATCCATCTTGGGCCGATATGGCATCCAATATGGCATCCATCTTGGGCCGAGGCATACAGTGACATTGAAGAATGTCCATAACAAACTGCAAAGGCTCCAAATTGATGACATCCATAAAATGATTTATTTATTTATTTATTTAGCATATGGCATAAAATGTCGGGGAAAGGTACATGCTAGACACACAATGCAATCCTGATGGCCTAAATCACTAGTTCATTCTGTTCAGTGCTTGCACGCCAGCCTTGGTGCATTGTGAGAGGGGTGAACTAGACTATACCAGCTGACATCAGCGATGGCTCTTCCAGGCTCCTCTGACAGCCTGGCCTCACCTCACATTTAGCCATGTCCAGTTCCGGCTTCCGCTCTCCATGCACACAAACTCAGAAAATGATGTCATCCTAACAAATACCTACCATTGTATACAGTGGTGGGTTTCAAAAAATTTTACTACTGGTTCTGTGGGTGTGGCTTGGTGGGCGTGGCATGGCTTGGTGGGTGTGGCTTGGTGGGCATTGCAGGGAAAGGATACTGTAAAATCTCCATTCCCACCCCACTCCAGGGGAAGGTTACTGCAAAATCCCCATTTCCTACCGATCAGCTGGGACTTGGGAGGCAGAGAATAGATGGCAGTGGGGCCAGTCAGAATTTTTACTACCAGTTCTCCGAACTACTCAAAATTTCCACTACCGGTTCTCCAGAACTGGTCAGAACCTGATGAAACCCACCTCTGATTGTATATCTATGTAAACTATGACATTTGCATGAAGATGTTATCATGCATTTATGATCACTTGCCACTTCTGTCACCTCCATGGAAACCCATGATGAAATCTTTGATGCTGTGTGGGCTCCTTTTATATGGTGTAGCTATCACTAACACAGTTCCGACTACTGGAAATGGAAAGGAAGTATTTCCCCCTCTCCTTCCCCAAGAATAGTTTGTTGCTATCAAGCAAATTTTCAATAAAAGCGAAGAAGGAAGGGAGGAAGGGAGGGTTTTTTCAGCTCAATTGTAAAACACAAGAAACCATTCCAAAATATTACATCTCTCTCCAAATGTATCATGTTATGATGAAGGTACTCTTAAGGACCAATTTGGACATTTACACACACAGAGAACCCTAGAATGATACCAGATCTTATGGGACATTACCATTAAAATGTAGAACTTAAATTGAGCTCAGAAACTTATGAATAAATACTCTTCCCTTGGAATTGCTAATATTACAGAGAGGTGGGGTGGCTTACTAATGTAAAGAAAAGTTCAAAAATCTGATTTCACCATGATGTACTGTCAAAAGGTAGTGTCTAAGAATGTGAACTGAATGTGTGGTTTAGCTTTGATCTCAAATTGGGGGGAACGAATGAGTAGGTTAGACATGCTAAAAACCTACCAAACAATTTTGAAGGCAGCTTCATTCCGGGTTTTTCTCAGCTGCAACTTGTTAACCTTTTCAAGGGAGTTTACTAAAATGTGATTGCCAGACTGCAAATCTCTGGTGATCGCCTTTCGAGCCGTTCTTATTTCCAGTAGTATATTCTTTTAATGACATTGGGATTGTAAATTATACTGACCATGAAGAAGGTAATGAGAGAGAAGGAAACATTAACATTCGAACATCATTTTTTGGCTATGCATACTGAGTAAGCTTTCTTATGTATAATTATTTTGTGACCACCAACTCATCAGCCTGAAGATTCCAGATGAAATGAGGAATGTCAACACAATTTGCATAATCCCACATTTTATTGGCTTGGCTGATGTTCAGGAAATTGTGCAGCACTTGTGATCTTTCATTTGGTTATGTTTTGCTGCTATCATTCCCAAATTATATTTCAGTTCATGATGACATCTGGAATTTCTGGCTCAAAGCAAGATAGAAGTGACCTAAAGTTGAACCAAATATTTTTGATTATATTTGAAATAAATAAGCAAGCACCTAACTCACTACGATACTTCTATGCCCAGTTTCTTGGCAATGAGCCTCACTGACTTATATAGGACTCATCTTTCAATAGATTAGATTGTACAATCCATGCAGGACATTTCAATTGTTTTGCTCTAATAATAGCTGCTGATAGAGAGGAGACTGAGTGGTCTAATCAATTAAAGATAATCAATAAATTTTCTTCTCCAGGTAGACTCTTTGGATAAAAATTCAGAAAGTGACATTCAATTATGGCTTAAAGGCCCTTTTCCTGAACTCTCCCTCTTTTTCCCTCAGCATAATTTTCTTATTTTTGTTTATTAACTGCCAAGTAATAATATGCTGTCTTCTTTAGAATGCAAAGAAGTGAACAAAACAGACTGCAGTGGAAAACAGCTTTAAATCTGCTTGAAGTGAGTCCCAAGAGTATCTTGTTATTTTCATCCTTGTTTCTAAATGGATGTCATTAAGTCCAAATAAAAAAATTCTAATATACTGCCTTTCATATCATAAATTTATGTATTTTCTACTTCTTAATTTATTTTTAAACAGTATACATGGCTTCTGCCCTCACTTCAAACTATTTTCTACACCACAGCTCTAAGTACTATTTTCATTTATTTCTGTGCAACTTTTCCAAACTCAAGAACAAAAAAAACCCTCAAATGTATACTTGGCATTTATTTAATTATACATTTTACTATCCACCCCAATCGAGAAGGAGACTGAGTAGTGTACAATATATAAAACATCTTAATAAAGTAGTATAAAGAAAGGAGGAGAAGAAGAAGAATATAACAATATTAAGATTAAGTTTAGGGTCCGGACGGAGGGAAGTTGATCAAAAATATACATGAGATTTTCTGACATTTTTGTCAGGGAAGGGAAGGGAAGGGAAGGGAAGGGAAGAAGGAAAGGGAAGGGAAGGAGAAGGCGGAAGGCGGAAAGGAAGTTTCCACTCTATTCTTCATCTCAGCCTTGCAGCAAAACAGACATTCAAATCTCCCTTCCCAATACAATGAGATTCTCTGGGAAACAAGAATCTTAGGCTGTTGGTTTGAGCTCCGAGCTTGGCAATTTGGTTGCAAATGTTTTGTCACCATTCGAGGAGTCATCTTCAGTGCATTTTGAATGGTGCGTTTTGAATTGACAATCAGGAATTTTGTCAGTGACAACCAGTATGGCTTAGCTTTCAAAGCATCTTCCTGCCAGTGGAGGAAAAGGTAAGATCTCCCTCTGCCTGGCTAGGTGACTCAGTGGCTAAGACACCAAGCTTGTCCATCAGAAAGATCGGCAGTTTGGCAGTTTGAATCCCTAGTATAGGTCTCCTGCGTGAGCAGGGGGTTGGACTAGATGACCTCCAAGGTCCCTTCCAACTCTGTTACTTACTGATTCAGCAGGAAGAGATCCCCATCTCCTCCACTGGACAAACAGCTGTCTGGCAGGCTGGGAGCAGCCCAACTATTTGGGGAGGAAGATAGGCATGGGACTCTTTTCCCAATATCCCTTTCCTTCCGTCCGTGGGGGCTTTGGGGCTGAGAGTTCCTTGGGCACCTATGTGGACCTCATGGACCCCAAGGCCTGTCATTTGCACATATACACTCTAGCCCATGGTTTCATGTTCTCTCAACAAGCAATCGGTGTTAAACACTTTTGAGTAGTCCTGCTGGGATGCATTGTATTCATGTGAGCTGTTTTTTGAATCTTTTGCTCGGTTTCCCAGCGGCAAATAATATGGAAGGAATCAATCTTCCATGTTCCTAGTGGAAAATAAGCTGTTTTGATACAAAAGAAACCAAACTGAAACACCTGCTTGTGCGCACATACCAAACACGCCTGTATGTTCCTCCGTTGTGTGCAGATGCACACAAATAGAGTGTCTTCCATTTATCATTGCTGTCTAAGGCATTCCAAATCCGTTGCTGCTCTGGAATGCAGCTATTCTTCATGATGTCTTTTAAAGCATAAAACATTTTAAAGCTGAAAGTCTTTCACAGCATACTTTACCTCATCCGTCATCACCCCAAACATTTTCAGAGTCTCCAGTCTTTCTGATTGTGAGTGACTTCTTGTATAACAAAAGCCGGAAGGTAAAATAACTCTTGAGTCTTTGTTCTCCTTTGACATAATTAGATGCTACTGTGCCTCCTTTCTTAGCACACTTCTCAGAAGATTTATGAAGTATTTAGAAAACCTCTCTCATTTCTTCATGGCTCCTGAACTAAGTGGCTCCTCAGCCAAAAAGTGACTTTCAATCTAACCTACTGTTACCTCACAGGATGATTGCGTGATCAAAATTACCACAGCACAGTTGCAAACCAGTGGCACCTGTTCAACTTCCACATTGAACATCATAGTCTCCAGCTAAGAGAGAGGAGTAAATTTTAATTCTCCTTTCTCATTCAAAATATCTTTATAGGTGACAGCTCCCCCTCATTTGTCCTTATAACTACATCAAAAAATCTCTCCACTAGTCTCCCAGCTAACAAAACCAACAAGAATACTGGGCATCTGGAAAAGCTGAAACATTATACATTGGTGTGTGGGAACTGGATATATCATTCCTCTTAAATCCCAGCAGAAACCTACATGTGGGTATTGTAAAAGATAGAATGGCCCATATGTGGGTAGGACAAATTGAGGAAATAAGAGTGATCACAGCAAAATGTGAACTGGCCCACAAGAAACCCATCTGGATATACTAATCTCCTTTGTTCCCACTATCATTTTCCCAAATTCTCATCCCTTAGAGTCACTTAAATGTAATGTGAAGTTACCGGAAATCACCAGCAAGTCAGGAGAGCTTGGGGCGATCCTAAAAGCGTTTGGAGTTTACTGGATGTGCTTTAGAAACATCCCCTTAATATACAAAAATACCATTGTATATAATACAAATTAGCTCAATAAGGTTTGGACTGTGGTTTGCTAGTCTCGCCTTCAGAAGAGTCACATTAGACAGATATCTTAAAGCTAACAATTTATTATTTTAGCCTTCCAAAAAAAAAAAAATCAAAATGGAGAGAGAATGGTGACGACCATAAACATAAGCCTACTGAATTTACCGATAAAGATTTTGTCTAAGAATGTTGTGCAGACATTGGAAAGTGTTATAGCCTGCGAAGTAGGGGTGAAATCCAGCAGGTTCTAACAGGTTCTGGAGAACTGGTAGTGGAAATTTTGAGTAGTTCAGAGAACTGGCAAATACCACCTCTGGCTGGCCCCAGAGTGGGGTGGGAAGGAGATTTTGCAATATCCTTCCCCTGCCACACCCATCAAGCCACGCCCACATAACAGGAAAAATAGGGAAAATTTTTGAATTTCACCCCTGCTGCAAAGTAAAGCAAAAGCTGTTTGGAGATTTTATGAGATGATGACACCGCTCTGCCCCTCCCTCTATTTGTCAAGAGAAAAAAGAAAGTGGGGAAAAACAGGTGGATAGTTAGACACAAACATTGCTGTATATCTAGTGCAAGGTTTCCAAACCCTGGCAACTTTTTAGACTTGTAGATGTGTAGACTTGTAGACGTCAACTCCCAGAATTTCCCAACCAGCTGGGGAAACCATGATCTAGTGGAATAACTGATTTTTTGAATAGGATGACTACAACTTCTGTTTGAATATGTCCTGAAAGATGATCCAATTCAAGTCCAGTTTATACAACGAGCAAAATAAAGAGCAAAATAGGCCCTTAGCTTGCACCTCAATGACATTCAGTATGAACTACGGAAGTCACCCTAAATTATGTTGCATTAAACCTAGAGTAGTTCTTTCTTATTTTATATCTACGTCCATGCACATATTATGCAAATCTGCATTTTTCCAGAAGTAATACGTTCCTTTCATATTGGCACATCTTAACATCTGGGCTGAGACCTCCCACTGCTCTAATTTGAGGCCAGCCTTCCCTCATCCAACCCTCCAGATGTGTTGGGATTGCAGGCTTCAGCCTTCTAGCCAAATATACAGGCTTCCAGTGCAAAATTTACTAGGACTAAAAATCAGAGGGTTGACTTTACTAAGTTTATCTGCCCCTTGAGCTCTCATCTGGATATCTAAGCAAATCATGGAGAACTCAACAATGACTGTTTGGGGTGTTTGCCAAGATCCTTTTCAGGATCCCACCAAATAGTGTGGCCTAGCCCCTCCAACCAGTTGTCTGAACACAGGACTTACATATGAATTCTTGCTTGACATGAAAGAGTCCAGTTTACAGTGAAGATAGACTCCCTGAAGCAGAGTTTCTAACATGTTTAAACTGGTGTGCTGAGGGCTTTGCAGACATCAAAAAGATGCCCATGAGAGCATTTGTTTTAAACCATTTCAGAAGAGGCATTTTCTCACAACCATTTTTAGGACATGTTCTGAGAAAAATGTTTTTTCTGCACACAAGGAGAAAGAAACAGTGAGAAAGTAAAAATGCAACAATGATATTTAGATTTAGAGTTGTGAGATGAACAGGTTCCAAGCAGATCTTGGCTTTGCTGTCAAATTCCTGATAGGTTTGCCCATAATGTAGCCAACTTTAAAAAAAAATAGTTTAGGCAGAAAAGAGAAAGAAATCAGTATGAATGGAACATTGAGGCCTGATCTAAGAAAAGTCCAAAACTTGCAAGACCTGTTTGTTTCTGTGCCTGAAAAATTAAGATCAGGTTTATCTGAAGGTTGTTAGAATCTCCTTTTTCCTGTGTGATCCTAGCCCAGCATTGTGTAAAATCTGGCAGATTTATATGCCACATTTTCCCATGATTTTGACACGAAACCAGATAAAAGTTGGCTGTTTTTCCAGTGTGCCTCACCGTGGGATTTTGCCTTTATTTGGACCTGAATCTTAGAACATAACTCATGGTCTGGGAAAAGAAATTTTGCTACACAAAAGGAAGCAGTTGCCACAGAAATGAGGGCTTTGCCTGCCATGGTTGATCTTTAAAGTCTTCAAATGATTTTTAAAAATGTTTTAAGGAACCAATGGTAAATACCATCCCTGATTGGCCCCGCCCCCATCTATTCTCTGCCTCCCGAGTTCCAGCTGATTGGGAGGAAATGGGGATTTTGCAGTAACCTTCCCCTGGAGTGGGGTGGGAATGGAGATTTTGCAGTATCCTTCCCCTGCCATGCCCACCAAGGCACGCCCACCAAGCCATGCCACACCCACCAAGCCACACCCACAGAATCGGTAGTAAAAAAATTTGAAACCCACCATTGAGGTGCTGGTCTAGAAATCAAGAGATGGTGAGTTTTTCTTCTGTTTTAGGTATGAAAGCCACTGAGTGACTTTAGGCCAGCCATTCCTCAGCTCAGCCTACCTCTCAGAGGAGTTGTCACTGTGGGGAAATTAGGAGGAGGGAGGAGCATTAGGTATTGTTGCTGCCTTGAGTTACTTATAAAGTAATAAAGGTGGAATACAAATCTACAAAATGAATAAAAAATAAAAGCAAGAGGGGAAAAATGGCAGCTACATAACACGGATAGAGAGCAGACTCAGGAAGACTGGTGAATAAGGATATGGATGGCTCTGAGAAACTCTTTAGAGATTGGGGGCCAAACATAAGGATATTGCAACAAGCAGGCAAATTTCAAGGGGCATAATAGGAGTCAATGAGGGTAATAAGATTTAGCTTTCTGGAGCAAGGGACTCAGCAGTTTTAAATAATAAAATGAGTAAGGATTTGGAGTCCAGAAGACCTAGAATTGTAACAGGAAAGTGTTTATTCAGATATCAAAGTGTGGTGATGCAAACTGGAGGCAAAGGGGAATTTGATCTCTGGAAAGAATATATGCCTTTTAGAAGCAGGAAAAAAAACCTAGCATAAAATCACATTGTCATAAAGAAATCTCTAAAACAATGAAACAATTTCATAAATTATAAAAAAAAAAACAACCTGAAACCACACCAAGCAGTGGTGGGTTGCTACTGGTTCGCCCCGGATCGGGCGAATCAGTAGCGGTGGCGGTAGGAGGCTCCACCCACCCGCCTGGATGCTTCTGTGCATGCACAGAAGTGTTGCGAGCGTGTGCAAGTGTACACATGGACAAGTGAACCAGTAGCAAACTAAATTGAAACCCACTACTGACACCAAGTCATATCAACATGTTGCACCCACCCCGCAATGGAAGGAAAATAAAGACTTTTTAATGTTTGTTAGATGATGAAGAGAATTTTGAATTGTGAGCTGTCCAGAGCCCTTTGCAGAGGTGGCAGCTATAGAAATCAATAAATAAAATTAGAGAGGTCAATTACTACTAGAGGTGGAGGACAAACACCAAACCTCTCTCTGAATTGATACTTTGGGTGTCTTAGTGACAACAATTGAATTCTAAACCTTATTGATCAATGGAAGATAAAAAAAAAAATTCACCTCTTTCTGTTCTCAGGTTTCTTGATTTGTTGATTTTAAATTGCTTGTTTCATAATCAAAACTTGGCTCATGTCTGGAATAAAGGCCAGAGGACTGGTAAGTATCCAATTTACACTAATTTCCAGAAGGCATCCAGAGAATTCAGAAAACTGCAGGCTGCCCTTTCTCACAAAACATTGCATTCTTTGAGAAAATCATTTTTTAAAAAAAATATTGCAACTTTCCTTTAGAAGATCTAGGCAGGATCTCTGCAGTTTGAGCAGAGAAAAGAATAACTTCTTATTTTCCTAGCAGAAATAGGAAAACCAGACAATTAGCTTCATTTTGAACTCCACTCTCTGAGACACCTGTAGGCCTAGACATGGTAGATTGAATGAGTGTAACTGCTCCAAAGTAATTTTGCATGCTCTTAAGAGGTAGGAGTTGTTGAATCTGAATACTCTAACCACTATCCAGCACGTAGATAAGGATGGTCTACTGTTTACTTGAACATTCAAAAGGGCTTTTAACTAAGGCTCTGAGTAAACTCAGCAATCATGAAAGAAGACACAAAACTTCACATAGGTGGGAAACTGGTTAATGAACACAAGCAGAGAATAGTACTAAACGAAAAGGTCTCAGAAAGTTAGAAAGGAGAGAATAAACACTGGGCTCAGTCATTAAGATGGAGCTTTGTCAACCTGGTAATAAATGATTTAAAATCAAAGGTGGGCTGATGGTCAGGTTTGTTTATATAGGAAGGGCAAATTATAAGGGTGGATCAAATACAAGAGATAGAGAAAAGCTCTTAATAAGCAGATGAATTAATGATTAAATTACAAATGTAGCTCAGTGTAACTAGGCTACTGCACACTACGGCAA